TCAGCTAGGAGCTAGTAGTGGATGTTTATCCTGGAGATATTATACCTAACATAAAGCAGCTGCCCAGGGTGCCTATTCCTTTCCTGGCACAACCAAAATGTTTGTGGTTACCTTTAAAGCCCTAAATGACTTGAGCCCAGGATATCAGCTTGCTTGCTCCAAGGTCTGCTGGGCAAGCTCATCTTCTTGTCTCATCAGTGATTGAAACACCACTGATTGGGATACAGAAGAAAGCATTTTCTGTGACTGTGGCTTAGAATTTGGAAATCTACACCTCCAGAGATCAGTTGCCCCATTCTCTTTTCTTTTCACCACCTGCCAAAGTTTCTGCTTCTGTTCTGACAGGTATTTAGTTTGCCGGGATGAGGATAATTTTACAGCTGCCCCTTTGGTTTTAAACTGCTGGTTATTTTTGTTGTTAATTAATCTCTTCTGGATTCTAGACGGCTGCAAGCTGCCCTCAGCACTGCAAAATGCAGTGGAGGACTGGGATATAACTACTGTAAATAAATAAGTGTGAAATTTATGGGCTTTCCTTGTAGTTTTTCCCTCCTGATTTTCATCCATGAGGAGTCCTGTTGCCTGTGAATGCAGAGGTTCCTTTTCGTTCTTAGGCATAATAACTGAAGGTCATCTTATCCATGACTGTCTAATTTTCTGTGTCTTTCTCTGTGTCTTCCTTACCATCTATGTCAGGGGCCAATGTCATACCTTCCAGCAATTAATTCTTCAGGCTTTGCTGCATCATAAAAAGTACTTACTGAGTCTTGCTTCCTGGTGTTTATTTTTCCTTTTGTCTCATCTGAATGGGAACTGAGGGTAGCAGCATACGACAAAATTGCAACAAATGTTGTGTCAACAGATAACATTTTTGGAAGCAGAACTTCTTGTGGGGGGCACACAGTCAACTGAAACTCTCATCCGCCCTCAGATGTTTAGTTCTCTCCCTAAATGGCTTGTCTGCACTTAGTCCAACAGTGGCAATCCAAATGCCTCTGTGAAGCTTATATGAGTCTAGCAGTATATACTTTTTTTTTTCCATATATGAGGATCTTAGTTAATCCAAACTGAAAGTTGTTTGATTACCACTGTCCATGAAGACAGTGGTGAAGACAGTGATATGCCTTTGAAGATAGCCTTTTAGGTACCATGGCTTTTTATAACAGGTGTGTATAGATGGGGGTAAAGTAGAATAGGCAGCTTGTTTGGATAAAGTGGATAAACCAAAGCAATATTGTAACAGAAGTCACTGAAAAAAGTAGGTGCATACTGTCCGGAGGCGCCACCTAACTGTGAGGCCATTTACCATGTCAAAAAGAAGATATATTCCTCTAAATTGCCACCATGGGTGTTATCTTGCTTGTAATGTTTGAAGGTCAGTCACATATCTGAAAACATGGCTAGATGGTTATGACTGATCTCATTCTAGATGGGTGTTTGCTGCATGCTTTAAGCCAAGACTGTTCAGGCATTACAGAAGATGAACCATTGAATCACATTGGAAAGATGAAGAATATGATAATGGGGAGAACCTTTAAATGTGCAATGTTGTCCATGGGTCTGCTGTTGATCAGATAATTTTTTCTTTCTCCTTTACCATTAAAATTGTCTTCAGAAGCTGGGTCAAACCATCCAGCCCTGCATTGTCTGCACCAAGGGACAGAGTCAGCCTATAACTCTTCAGATGTTCTGACTCTCATCACTGGTTATGTTTGTTCTGGTGACCACAGGTTGCCTACAATTTTGATTGACGGAGGCTCTGCAGGGTTTCAGGAGGAAGTGTGGCTCAGTGCTATCTGAAGTGATGATCTGCATATATTTCTCCTTCTCAGAGCTATTGAACTTGTGAAGCTAATTTCTTACTTTACTGAACTCTTTAGCCACAAGAACTTATTGTTTAGGAATGACTCTCAGTGCTTATAGGTCGACTTGAGCTGGAATGTAAAATAAATAATTGTTGTCCATCAAACACCTGGGAAAGAATGGCTCCAGTTCTAATGGAGAGGAGCCTGTTTTATAGAAGTAAAAGGGTGGGATGTGGCCTCTGGAAGCTACACTTAGTAATGCTACCTTACAGTGTGAAGACCATTTAGTTTGGATGGAAGATACAGATGCTCATACAGGCACACACGCCAATTGTAATAGCAACTGCTGAGGAGCAATGATGTACTGTTATACATCATGGTTTCAGAGCTGCCTTCTTAAATATACAGGGGCATGAAAATCTTGTGGTGCTTGGGCAAGTGTCCCATGGTCCATGGAATGGTTCAGATTCTTCCTTCAAAGATCAGAGAGAGAGAGTGCTTTACGCCCAGAAGGCGATTTAACTCCTTGCCCCCTCTCAGTAGGCACAGAAAGAACCATGCCAGCTGCCTCTGCAAGAAGGTCCAATTGACCTCTGAGGCAACAAGAAGGAATGGCCTGGTCAGCAGGGGCAGAGCAGACAGAGCGGCCCGGGTGGAATTTTTCCTGAGCCTCCTCCACATGCCTTGCCTTCTGCACAAAATGCTCTCACTAGATGGGCTGAATATTGGGGGCGGGGAACAGAGATTGAAGGATGGTGCGGCAAAGATTTCCACCACTCCTCCTGCTCTTCTGGCTTTAGCCATGCAGGACAGAGTAATACCAGAGGCCTCTGGGCTCAGGAGATTCTGAGCAGTGAGGCCCAACCCCAGGACTACATTCTTTAATAGTCTCTACATCTTAAAACTTAAGTTTGGGCTTCATGCAAGAGTTGTATGTAATTGTATTTTTAGAACTGCTGTTTAAGAGTCATGCCAGAACAGACCTGGGGTCCTTTTAGTTCAGCATTCTGTTTACAGAGTGGCCAGTCAGGATCCCAAGCAGGATTTGAATACAATATTACCCTCCTCCCCAAGTCCCCCAGCAATGGTTCACGTCAGCAGACAGCTCTGATAATGGAGGTAGTAGTCATTGAGTCATCCAGTCAGTGGCCGTCATAATTTCACTATGTGCTGTGTGAAGAAGTGCTTTCTTTTCTCTCTCTGGAACTTCCCACTAGTCAGTTTCACAGGATGCTGCAGTGCCTAAGATTAAGAAAGAAAAATGGCGTCCTCTCCTTTTTCTCCACACCATGCACATTCCTGTATGTCCTATCATGTTTAGCTTCAGAAAAGTGTAAGGGGAAGCAATATCAGTTGCTCCAACTCAGTTGATCAATTTAGCTGCCCTTTTCTGAACTTTTCTCAGCTTTATAATAAACCTTTTTAGGTGCAGTGGTCAGAATTGCACATACACTGCATAGCCATACATTCCCTCCTGACTTTTTACCTTCACCACTGGTTTGTTGTTGTTTACTAGGATTCCTGAGTTTGTGCATCTGGAAAATGAAATTGTTTTCAAAGAGAAGGTGGGAAATGCAGTTATTGTTATTAACTTACAGTTCACCGTTACATCTTACAAAAAGGAAAGAAAGCATTCTCTGCCCTGGCCTCCTTGCCCTGCTGCTGGATTCATGTGGTGGTTTAACTCACTTCTGTGCTGATGCTTTGTCAATGGATCTCAGACACTTTGTCATTGAGGGTCCTTGCAAGTCTGCCTCCTTATGTAGCTGTAGGTAGGTTAATTCAAGTGCTGCTGCAGCCAATCTGATTAGGAGGCCTTCTTTGAAAAGCATGGGAGAATATAGCTGTACTACTGGTCTGCACTAGCTTCTGGTTTATTTTTACACGGGTATTGTTTACACCAGGGATGGGCAATTAATTTTCCTATGGGGCCACATGAGAAACTTTGACAGTTGTTAAGGGCCGGACCGATACACTTACAGCTCTGCTCAATATATATCTCTATAAAAACAGTAAATGAAACATTACAATGATACAATGAAAATGTGGAGCGCAGAACAACCCTATTTAATGAATATTCACAAAAACATTAACATTAACATTACATGAAAAGCAATACATTCAATTCGATTTAGCAGATCCTTCAAAATAAAAGCAGTGCAGTTGTATTGCTTGCATCTATATTACGACGGTATATATTTGCATTGACTTTTAATTTGCCAGTGAGCTCATGCAGGCCAGTCAGGGTCAGCCATTGGGCCGGATGTGGCCCGTGGGCCGTACAATGCCCAGGTCTGGTTTACACTAATAAAGCAAAAACAAACTGCCAATATATAAAGAGGACAAAGGAATCTGCCAGATTTAGAGCAAATATTAAGGCATTCAAGCGGCACTTAGATCTGAACGTCAGTTCCTAGTGAATGAAGTCAGATAGTGTGACTGTAAGCATCAAATGGGCGCTGTCCTTTGTGGTTACACACCTTACCTCCAAAAGCAGAGGCACGACGAGCATGGGCAGCCTCAGTGACAGAAAAGTTTGATGTTCAGGCATGTTCCTTTAAAAGTGGGCCGGCCCTAAGAAGGGCTGGTCCCCAACTGCTCAGGTCTTTCTAGACCAACCCCAGACACTTTAATTGGGGCCAGAAATAGCCAGTCAAGTGTATTAAAATCTACAAGCCACCACTGATGAACGCTAGCAAAATGTATTAAGATTTACAAGCTGCTGCTAGAGTAGTAGAGCAAGCCTATTATGTACTAATGGAAGACTTCCAATCCACTTGAAGAATGCATTACTTTAATGTAGCCTGGCTGTGCTTCGTGTTTAAGCAATCCATGAAACATTTTCACAAAGGGCCAGATCTAGTTTTAATTCATTGTATAGTGATATTATATATTATTTAAAATATATGCCAAGCAAGCCCTTTCTTTGAAGGAATTCAAAAGCTGCACTGGGAAAAGGAAGAGTGAAAAATAGTACAATAAAGGGAACTGTAAGCAGCATTCTTTCACTTATCACTTAAATGTCCTTTGAGCCTAACTTGCACTGAATGTGCATGTGAAAATGTCTCTTCATTTTATATCCTATATTAACAAGCAATATGCCTATCTGGCCAATTTAGGATTTGCATTCATGGCAGCAAAGCAACAATGTATGACTGTTTTGGCCTTAAAAACCCTGATCACACTCCAGAATTGACTAAGCACAATTGGGTCAACATATTTTCCTCCCCTTCTGTATTAAAAATTTGCTGTATTCAACATAAGCACATTTTAAAACTAAAATTATTTAACATCTGTGGGGGTTTGTTTTTAAGTATACTGCAGTCAGTGTAGTAACTCCTTGTTTGAAAAAAAGGGCCTGACAGTCTTGGATAAGAGAGAGAATCAAATGTCTTTACCATACTCAAAGGGATTTTACCAGATGTGTGCAGCATTCTTCAGAGTGTTCCTAATAAGGAAAGTTTGCACAGTTACGGAGGAGTTCTGCATTTGTATAGCCATGTGGTACAGGATTTACTTTGGATGGAGAGGAGAGATAACCACTCCTTGCACTGCTTCAAAACAATCTCCATGGAATAAGCAGCAATTGCCGATCGGGTCTGCCCTTCCTCCGTGAACACTGATGCAGCATTTGCCAGTAGCGAACTAGTTGAGCTTGCTTTGAGAGTCCATTTGAAGATTCGTATTCAGTTCTTCTTGACTCTGAAGATACATGGTGGTGAAAGTCTATGGGAACAAAGGATTATAGGAGTTAACAGTCTGAACAGTCTATGATATCTGATATGACATGGCTTCAGAAAAATTTATGTCTCCGTATAAGAGTTCTGCATTGGATTAATCTTCAGCCGGTCTCATCGAGTTACCAAAGAATATCGGTGGAAAAGCAGAGTTTGGTTAATGGGTAAGAAAACAGTTGTGAGAACCTGAAGCACAGCTGTGGTTGTTTTATAGTAGTATTTGAGAAGGTTAAGTTATTCTGTTTTCATTTTTACTTGCTGTGTAGCTAACTGGCAAAGGAAAAGAAGCCACACCTCGCCCAAACAGTCTTTTCCAATTCACAATATACTTGTTGCTTGGTAAGAAAAACAGTTTTACCTACCACTTAGCAGTCTAAGAAGTCAACAATGTTTGAAGTTAGCAAAGATCTTATATTTTTTCTGTTTTCATGATTTAGTATACGCTGCTAACAAGCATGAGGGGGCAAAACCCCTTCAATCAGCAGTACTATAGTGTAATTAAAGTCAATTATATGACTAGACCAAGTTCATTTAATGGAAAGACCTTTGAAGTATTTGACAAGGTTCTATTCTCTTTATAAGTGCATCCTCTGTAACCCTAATCATCAAGTACTGCAAGGCGGGGCAAGTGGCACAGTATACATAATGGAAGAATAAATGCACTTCTGGCTGTAGCGGCATGTACTCAGTTACTCCTCCCCAACTATATAAATCAGATTAACAAAGGACAGTCGGTTGATTGACCTGCAGGCCAGATATGATTCCTGAAGCACTTTCTGCCTCATAGGTGCCTTACCTAATCTTAATCAGTTGCCTCCTGGTTTGTCCTTGTTTTCACTCATTAAAAGAAGGAAAAAAAAGTATTTTCATACTGCCAAAAACAGAAATATTGTACACTTTAGTTTTAAATCTTGTTTAACAGCTCTCTCTCTCTCATTCTCTCTCTCTCTGTGTGCGCCCATAACACTGAAATCCCTCACTCCTAACTGGCAACTACAATTTTCTAGCCTTGCCTAGATAGAATGGGCCCACAAATGGTCATTTGCAAGCTGAATCTTCAAATTTATGACTTGTTGCAAAGTATAGTAGTCCCAAATAAATGCTGGTCATCTTCTGGCTCAGTCTCAAGCGTATCTCGTAACTCTAGCAATTGTTTCTGTTTTTCATAACAGTGGGAAATTTTATGGGCTATTTTTTTCCTTCTCCCTGTCCAAAATAAATGTGCTGCTTAAAGCAAAGAATGAAACTAAAGGGCAACATTTGAACTGTTTGCATTTTGGAGTACCAGAGATGAAAGATGGCAGCGGGTTTCCTCTTGATCTGTCCTGATCAGCAAAGTGCCACTTCCTCAAGAAGGTCACTGCTCTGCCATGGGAAAAGGAATGAAAAACAGGTCCTGAGAGCAAGGCATTTGTGTTGGTTTACTGACTGTGCAAAGCAAAGCATGCAAGTTTTTGCAGTTATTAGAATGATTGGGCAAGAAACAAATCTAAAAGATGAAAGCTTATGCATGAACTACTTCCAAGGACAACTATAGCTCCTCTTACATTCCATTTGATGCATGTGGGATGGGTGTGTGCTGGGAAATGCTACCATGCCTTGCTTTGACCTTCAACGCAAATAGGGCTTCTCTGTGCATACTGCTGTATGTATGTATGTAGGTCCTCCAGCTGAGACCCTGCTTGTCAGGGTTCCTAATCACAGGGAAAGGTCAGAGCTGGCTGTAGAAACCTCACTTGCCTCTTCCGCTGAATTCTCAAAGAACGAGATGGGGCCAGTAGGGATAGGAGAATGATACTCTTCCCCCTCCAGACATTGAGTTAACAAATGGGAAACAGGACAAATGCGTATATGTACTCTTTTCTACTCACAATTATGTAGCTATTTGTAAAGTAGTATAGAAAATAATGATCACTGAATTGTTACCCTTGTAACAATTATCCTGGATAATATTTAGCTAAGGTTGACTTCCCAAAAGGTATGTAATAAGTAAAATTCAACACACATGTACAAATGCAGTAAAGGCGTGCTTTTTCTGGCTCTTGTTGGTGTTTTTTTAAAACTTAAGGCACAATCCTGTTCATGCTTTGGCAGGAAAGAAGGGAAATATGCCTATCTGGGTAGTGCTGGGACTTGATTAGACATGAAGATGATCTAAATGTATAGGACTGTGCTCTTAATTTCCAGTCCGGGTTGTTTAGCTGGGACTGGGAATAAGAAGAGTAGAGCTGTAGGTGGTCTCAAGATCACTAATGGTAAAGATCTCTCTCCAATGAGACAGCTTTTGCATTTTGTCTGTTTGGATTATTCTTCAGTGTGGAACATAATGACATAGTTCAGATTTAGGTCATTGCTGTTTCTATTTAAGATTATTTCTTAAGCAGCTTCACATGAAGCTTTTGTTGTGCAGACATACTGCCACTTTCACAGAATTTTATGGTGGAGTCCAGACAACACACCCACTTTGTGGCACTTCCATGTTTTCCACTATCTCTTCTTCTTGGTTGATTGCTTTTTTCCAATAAATGAAAAAAGGACTGCATAACTGCGCAATGCCTTCTGACTGCTAGTGCAAAGAGCCCCTTGCCTTAGTCAGGTATACTAGGTTAAAAATATTGCAGTAAACTTATTTAATAACCTGTTGCAATTCTGGAAAGTCGTCTTTTTTTCCTATTAAATTGCCCTATAGTAGCCTGTGCTTGCCTATGTGGCATGTGTATGGATAATGAAAAAATCAAAGTGAAGTTCCTGTGGGTGAATAAGAACAGGTGGAATAACAAATATTTGAAAAATATCCATTGACTACAAGTTTAATAAATGACTCATTGCATGATTTCGTACATTTTCTCCAGAGATCATTGTGTTGCAAGGTGTTAGAGGGATGTTGTCAATTATCCATACCTAAACACTGGAGAACATTTTGTATTTGTGGAGACTTGCTGTGGATGAATTGAGTCTGAGAAGGGAGAAGACTGTTAGTTTAGTTTATTTTCAGTGTTAGATATTTCGTATTGTCATATTTCCCAGTAAAATATTTAAATGTTGATGAAGTTAGTACATTGTGCATGTGGATTTAGTTTGAAATTATAAGGTTTTTCAAATTATAGCCTATAACAAGATAGCATCGAGGAGGAACTTCATAGAAAATTAAGCACAACATTTATTTATTTATTTATTTATTTATTTATTTATTTATTTATTTATTTTATTAAAACATTGAGGTTGTGCTGCTGCTGTTCTGTCTAGTGGCCTTCACACTTCCTTCATGCTCTGGGAATGTAACTGGGCTTATGTATGCTCGCCTACCGTCTAAGCTTCTGGAAGGATTCTGCCAGTCTTGAGTACATTGTCTCTACATGTGCATTGAGGTTGCCTTGACGAACTTAAGTTACTGTGTGGTATATATGTAAGCGTAGGTTCCCTACTGATAGATGTTGCCCTGCATACTCAACTAGTATGCAGAACTTAGCAAAGCATATTCTGGACTAGGAAAATACTGCATGAACAACCTGAAATTCAAGAGAAAATGATAGCTTATACAGTGGTACCTTGGCTCATGAACTTAATCCGTTCCAGGACTCTGGTCGTGACCCAAATTGGTCGTGAGCCAAGTTAAATTTCCCCATAAGGTTCAGTGTAAATAAGGTTAATCTGTTCTGTAAATATTTCTTTAAAGCAGAAAAATGTGAAGCAAAGTGACAAAGCACAACAAAGATCGTGGCCATCTCCCCTCATATTCTGAGCAGGAGCGCAGCCATCTCTTCCCACCCCCCAGCACGACCGCAGTTGCGCCCATCATCCCTGCACAAGCCTGTCATCCCGACATGCTGGTGGAGGGAGAGTCGGGTGCAAACGTGGGCATGCTGGGGGGGGGGGAGAGACGGGCGCAATTGTGCTGGGGGGGAGATGGCCAAGATCGCAGTTGTGCTCCTGCAGGAAAGCTGGGCGCAATCACGGGCTCACTCATGCAGGAGAGACGGGGGCAATCTTGGCCATCTCCCCCCCGCCCCCAGCATGAACGCGGCCATCTCCCCATCTCGAGGTTGGGGGTGGGGAGATGGCTGCAATCGCGGTCGCCACCCAATGTGGAGTTTGCAACCTGAGTCAAAATTTTTATGAAATTTTTGTTCGCAACTTGATTTGGTCAATGTACCACTGTATTAGTTATTGTTTATATGCTAGTATTTTTGTGGACTAAGGGTAACTTGATATTGAAACAAGTCATTGTAGAGTATTTGCATTAAACAAAAGCTCACCATGTTTTGTAGAATATGTTCATTCCAATCTATTACTGTGATAGCCCTCTCATGTTAGTGGGAGAAAGAGAGCACTTTGCTGAAAGCTACCTTCTGGTACTATGTACAGTTTCTTTCCCAGGCCAGTCACAGGTAATGGGGGAGGGAGGTTTAAACCCCTGCTCAAGAGTCATGTATTATGTCTGCGCTTAGTAGACCCAAATTATTTTTGCTTAACCTACAAGAACATAGTAGAAGTGCCTCTGCACACGTCAGGAGTGCTGTTCCACCCAGCAAATAGCATTATACCTCTTCCCCGAAATTATGAAGGACTAATAGCATAAAAGGCATTGAGTCCCTGGCAGTATCTTTCTGAAAATAAACATTACTTTTTCACCCTTGGCAAGCTGCAGCAGTGTACAGCAAGCTTCTGTTTGAAAGCCAGGATTTAAAAGGCTATGGGATACAATATTTCTCCATCTCTCAAAGAACCCCTCTCCAGATTTTGCTTCTTTGCCTTCAGCAGCTTTTCTTCCAAATCCAGTCCTTTCTGATATTTATCTATTTCTATTCAGCCTGGAAGAGGGGAAATGAGTGAGAAGTTGCAAGGTGGGATGCACCCTGCTCTAACTAGTTTCAATTTTCTGCTATACAAAACAGGATTGTCTTTAATAGAAAAGTCAAGCAGTTTTTACTGATCAGAAAGATAATTTTCTAGGGATAAGTCCGGTGGGTAGTCAAGGCATCAGAAGCCCTGAAGGTGGCATCAGGAGGAAGCCCTGAAGAACACAGAAGTCCGAACTTGAGTCAAGGTCAGGAAAACAAGATGGCAAGCACAGCATCATTGTTTCTGGAAGGCTAAAGACCTGTATTGCCTGGGCTGTACCCAAATTAGTTAGTTAGTTAGTTTGTTTGTTTATTTAGAGTAT